CATTATTATTTTTTTTTTTTTTTGAGAAAAATAGAAAGAGAGAGAGAATGGGTGGCAGAGAGGCAGAGGGAGAGAGGGACTATCTTAGGCAGGCTCCACACTTAGCACGAAGCCTGACACGGGGCTTGATCCCATGACCCTGGGGTCAGGATTTGAGCCAAAATTGAGAGTTGGACACTCAAGTGACTGAGCCACTCAGGCACCCCAATATTTCATTTTTAAATTTTTATGAAGATATAATTGACATCTAACACTGTATTAAAGAGTCCAACGTGATGATTTGATAAACATGTACATTGTGAGATGATCATCATGGTCTAGTGAACATCCATCACCACATAGTAGTTACAATACAACACTTTTTTTTTCTTGTAATGAGAATTTTTAGGATCTAGTCTCTTAGCAACTTTCAAATATACAACAGACTGTTGTTAACCAGCATCACCATGTGTACCTAGACTCTTTTTCATCATTCCCCCAAGCTAAACCAAGACAGGCGATAATAAATACGACATAACTTTAAAGTGTTTCTGGGATCCCTTCACTGGCACGACGGGCTCAAAATTATGCATGTTTAGGAAGCGTACGCATGGAAAATGGTCCTAATAGGCACTATCGCATGAGTGTGAGGTTTTAGATGTGGGGTTTGAAGAGGGGGAGATGAAAGGATGGAGGGAGGCACAGAGGGAAAGGGGGTAGGCACAGAAGGGCTGGACTCTGGACCAGGAGACCGGACACACTTTAAAATATGTGAGATGGTGGCAATGCCAGCTGGTGCAGCCACTCTGGAAAAGAGTATGGAGGTTCCTCAAAAAGCTAAAAATAGAACTACCCTACGACCCAGCAATTGCACTACTAGGCATTGGATCCAAGGGATACATTTGAAGGGACACATGCACCTATTATAGCAGCACCATACTCGACAAATAGCCAAAGTAAATGTCCTCGATGGATGAATGGATAAAGAAGATGTGGGATACACACCCCCCCCCCACACACACACACTGGAGTATTACTTGGCAATCAAAAAGAATGGAACCTTGCCATTTCCAACTATGTGGATGGAACTGGAGGGTATTATGCTAAGCGAAATTAGTTGGAGAAAGACAAGTATCATATGACTTCACTCATAGGAGGACTTGGAAGAGACAAAACATGAACATAAGGGAAGGGAAACAAAAATAATACAAAAACAGGGAGGGGGACAAAACAGAAGAGATCTGGAGAACAAACTGAGGGTCACTGCAGGGGGTGGGGGAGGGGGGATGGGCTAAATGGGTCAGGGGCAATAAGGAATCTACTCCTGAAATCATTGTTGCATTAGATGCTAACTAATTTGGATGTAAATTAAAAAAAAATAAAATTAAAAAAAAATAAAATAAAGTAAAACGTGTGAGATGGTACATCTCTGCCTCCTATTCTGGTCAAAATAAAGAATTACCACGATGAGTAACAGATGGTAACAGACTGTATAAACACGCAAGTACCCCAAGCACTCAACATGCAAAAATTAGAGAGGCCTTCAATGTTATAGGACAACTGACTAGTGACCTTTAATATGCTTGATCCTACCTTCTCATTCAATATAGAGGATCCCACCTTCTCATTCAATATAGAGGAAAATTGAAACTCTCAATAACATTGAAAAGTGGGTCGGAAAAACCACTGCCCATCAGATTTGAAAGGATTGCTACTCAATATAAGGCAGATGGGGCTGGACTGAAAAGAGCTCATCAAGACTCCAGTTTTGGGTGCACCCAGCTTGACTTCATCAACCAGAGGTTGTTTGAGCGATCTGTCCAGCAACTTGGGCCAGACACTGGTGAGCCCCAATCTCTTAGGAGCAGCTCTTTAAAACAGAGAACTATCTCCTCAAGCTCCTATACCCTTCAGTGTTTCTAAGAAACTAACATGGTAGACAGAATTCTAGGATGATCCCCAGGGATATGTATGCTTGAACCATCTCCCTTTGAGTGGGGGTCATATCAGTGAATGCGATTTGGCTTCTGTAATTACATATTTGACACCACAAAAGGAATTATGCAGGTGTAATTAGGTTACTAATTCCTTAACTCCAGCTTAGAGGATATTATCCAGATGGGCCTGGCCTCATCACTTGAGCTCCCTTTTTTTTTCTTATTATTTATTTTGAGTGAGAGAGTGTGTGCAAGCAGGGGAAGGGTAGAGAGGACCGGAGAGAATCCCAAGCAGGCTCTGTACTACCAGCACATAGCCCGACGTGGGGCTCGATCTCACGAGATCATGACCTGAGCTGAAGTCAAGAGTCAGACGCTTAACAGACTGAGTCACCCAGGCGCCCGATCACTTGAGCCTTTTAAATGTGGCAGTCAGGGATTGGAAGTGAGAGAACGATTCACTTGTACAAAATTCTCTGTTTGAAGATGGGAGGGGGCCGCCTGGCAAGGTATGTGCACGGTCTCGAGGGGCCGGATGTGGCCCACAGCTATCAGACAGGCAGGCATGGGGTCCGCAGGGATGCCAATTCTGCCCACACGATGACCTTGGAGGATTTCTTTCCCAACACCTCCAGATGAGAACGCGGCCCAGCTGATGCCTTCAGATCCCTGATAAACGGTGCCCGGAGAATCCAGGGGAGCCTTTCCAGACTTCTCATTTACACAACTGTGAGCTAATAACTGGAGGTTCTATTAAGCGGCTGGCTTTCTGGTAATTTGTTACATGGCCCCAGAAAACTAATACAACCAAGATATGCTGACAGTGGCACAGAAGAGACGATTAATAACTAGAGGCAATTTGGTGCACTATGAAAATGGAAGGCCCCAAGTACACAGCATGATAAAAACTTCGCAGAAAGAACTGTCTAGATAAACTCATTTAGACATGAAACTGGGTCCAAGAGCTCAGCTGAAGAAAAGCACAACACGTGCCCTACTTCCAATGTTTCATCCAGACTTTCTGGATGTTATGTAGTGTATGTATTATACCCCTTTCTTCCCCCCAGACTGACAACTAGACTTGTTGCTTTAACTTCAGAAGTCACATGGTGCATCCTATTTGGAAGATTATGGGG